CTACGACTACGACGACTACTACTACACCACTATGACACTGATGACGCACAAGAATACTGGGTTGATGATGATGATGGTGGTGGTGGTGGTGGCAGTGATGATGATTGCTAATGCCTAACTGGTCTGACGACATGTTCATGATTTCCCGAAGGCTGGCCTATGTTGCGGACTGTGTGGCCTTTGAGCTCTTGAAGCAGCAAAATCCTGACGTTGCTTTGAAGCCCCGTGCCGTGGCCGGCTTCTCTGTGGGGGAAATAGCTGCGCTGGTTGCTGCTGGTGTCATGTCCTATGACCAGGGGCTGATAATTGTGAAGGCCCGGGGCGAGGCTATGCAACAGTGGGCCGACGAAGAGGACATGTCAGCCATTGCGGTTTATGGTATGGATGAGGAGCAACTGCAGAAGTTGTGCAGTCGTGTTGACCCCAACATGCGGGCACCATCGCAACAGAAGGTCTTCATATCGTACTGCTGGGGTCGTCGCGGTTTCGTTTGTTCTGGACATCATTCCGCCGTCGTAGAGCTACAAGAAAGGCTGCAGCAGTCAGGAGACGAGGCTGTCTACACGCAGATGCTGCCGGCTCAAAAGCATGCCGGGCACACCCCACTAGCTGTCAGGGTGGCCGAGGAGGTGGAAGAAGCTGTCAACAGCATTCCCATGAGCCCTCCCACTTGTGAGGTCTACTTCAACACAGGCTATCGTGTGGCGGCGCGTGAGGACCCGTCTGTGTTCGTGCCCTACCTGCTGCAGCAGCTCACGATGCCGCTCCGATGGGACTTCATTATCCAGACAAGTCTTCAGCGGGGCATCCGCAGATTCTTTGAGTGTGGCCCCGGCCAAAGCTTGAGGGAACTGATGGTGTTCAACTCCTGCAACACCCCCACGCAGATGATCCGACCGTATGAGCTGACGACCAGCATGAAAGTCTAATCTTCGGTGCTTGTAGGCTTGACTTTGAGAGGCTTTGAGAGGCCTCCTTCGCAGGAAAACGCGAGGGTCCTGATTTTATGGGACCAGCCTGCATTAATTGAACATGTCGCTTGCCCTCGGTGTGTTGAGCCACTCTGGCCGCAGGAGCTTGCCTCGAAATCAGCTGCTTCGCACACCTCCGAAGCTGGTGCGGGTCCGGGGCCTGGGCTTCAGAATGTTGAAGTTAGTCTCAAGTCTTCAGGAGATCTGGGAATAGGATTTTGGTCTGTGACCTCCAAGAATCTCGAGACTTGGGATCTCTGTGCTCTGTCAGGCTGCTACACCCTGCTGGCGGCCTTGACAGAGCAGGGAAGGATTCTGGGCTTCTTGGTGGCTGTGCGGTTATTTATGGAGTTTCAAGGCTTCCAGGACTAATCTATATGCATCCTGAAAACCCACTGCGCAGGCGACAATATAACCCCGACTCCGGCCCCACCCTATCACGACCACTTCCGTCTTTGATTGGCAGAGAAAGGTGGGGCAGGGGTTGAGAAACATGGACCGCCCGGCAGCTGAGGCTGTTTCACCGACTTCGCTTGGCGATGTCACTGTTCTGGAGGCGGCTTCGGAGATGTCTCCAGCCAATGCTTCGTCTTCTCGCTTGCAGAGACTTGGACAGGAACCCGAGGAACAGTCCCCTCCGCCATGTCAGTTGCGCGTTCTCCGGTTAGTGTAGTTGCAAGTGGCCAAGGACGGCGCGGCGCGTGTCTACAGAGGATGCTGCCGAGGCGTAGGAAGCTACCGTTGCCTTCGGAGGAGTTTACAGTCTGAGTTGCAAAGAGCCCCAAAGCACAAAACACAAGTCTGCTTCGAAGTCTAAAGTTCTGAAGTCGACGTCCTGCATGGCTTGGCAAGGCTCCGTCTTGCGCTTGACCGCAGATCGGATTCGAATCGGTCACCAGGCCGGTGCTTTTTACATTACACCTGCGTGGCTTGGTGATGCACTGCGGCAGTGCTTGCAGGAATCTGGTATAGGCCCAGATGCTAGCAAGCTACAATCTGACCATGCACGGCGCAGCTCCTCGTACATGTCCTCACAACTCCCAAAATCCCAGAGCTTGGGCGATGCGTCTCTGGAGGTGCGGCAGCGGACGACAGCCGTCGCACTGGATTCCTCGCTGCTTTGGGTGTCCAGCGACAAGGGAGAACTCTTTCGACACCTGGCGCTTCTTGAGTCACAAGGGGACGCCGCACCTACCCTCCAACCCTAAAGCCCTATCAGCATCATCTGCCTGATGAAGCGCTCTGCGTCTAGTCGTTCTCCGGTCTTCGGATCTTGTGAGAAGAGGAGCAAACAGGAAGGAACGGCCTCGAGTGCTACGAGCATCAGTTTGGCCTTGGAGACCAGAGAGCTTCCGACCCTCAGCCTACAAGGAAACCCCTGCCTCCTGGACACGAGCGTGGGTTCCGCCACAACGGGCGTGGACGCCGTCGCATGCCTCAGCCGCTTGGGAACGACAAGCCCAACCCATATTGTCCTATACATCCCTATATACCCACACTGTACCATACTTCCCTAGCCCATATTGTCCTGAAAGGGCTGAAGCCTAAGGCCACCCTTGAGCCCAATGAACTTTGCAGGCCTAGACTGAACAGCGCCTTCGAGTGCTGCGATCCCCAACCTGACAACTCTTTTTTCAAAACAGCTACTACCAGTAATAGTATATCCTTGCCGTCCCCATCGAAGTTGCAGACCCGACCACCTTGTTCTAAGTATTAAGAATCAGTGAAGTCAGGTTGGTCCCACCTCGAGCCGTCAGAGGGCGAGGAGCAGCTGCCCTTGGCGCTGCAGTCCAATCAGGACGCCACAGTGCGGGTTTAGGGCTCCACTACGTGAGGAGGCCTGAAGTGCTTCTACAGTGATTTCGCAGTGTCTGTAAGTAGCAACCGTTGGGTCTCTGTGTGTGTTTTTGGTGTTTGCCACTTGATTGGTGTCGCTCGCATATCTACCGGTGATGTAGTGATATAGGCTTGGCCGCTGACGGGTGGGCTGCATGGAGTACATCGGCCCTGTTTCGGAAACCATTCGGCCGTGGTTCACGCAGCCCATGAGTAGAAACGCATCCTCCGAAAGTTGGAGCCAGCCAGATCGGGCGTAGGGTGTGTCGCACTAAACATCACCAGAAACACATCCTTGCTCTTCCTTGGCTCCTATTCCACCGCCATGGGGAAAACGTTTGAACGCCTCTCTGACGACCACGCGCCCTGGCTGCCAAGTGCTCTGAAAAGTCTTTTGGGGTTTTGTGGCACCGGACGCAGGCCCGTAACGACGGCCGATACGCTTCGGAACATATTGCACCAGCACCGGGGTTTTAGCAGTGCTAGCCTGGGGGACTCAACTCGGCACCTGAAAACACAAGCCCTTTCTGGACTGTCAACAATTAATATATAATTATATATTACTATATATTACTATATATTCTTATATATTATTATATATTATTATATGCATCCACGCTTCGAACTTTTAACCTTCTCCTCTCCCTCTGCTGATCGGTGACAGTATGTACAGGGCTCCGCATCCATCTCCACATCACAGCCCGTCGAGTTGCATTTTCATGAGCATATCATATGCATAGCCTGGGCATCACCGACTTCCCAGTAGCCCCCCTGTGTCTGAGCATGCTTTCGTACCGTGCGCCGACACGAAGAGTTTAAACAGCTTGTACCTAAGTAAGGCGGTAAAAATCCAGATTCAATCGACAAGTTCCGAGACCCGGCCGGGCTCCATACCCATACTCAGGTGACTTGGCTGAGGAAGCAAAAAGTGTTCTTCGTCGCCAGCGCGGCTGCCAAAGGCCCGAGACCTGACCGAAAGTTGAGAGTGTTCACGGAGTTTCCCGGATTTCGAGTTGGGAGTTCGAGGTGCTCATTGGTCGGTAGCCGATCCATGCCAAAGTTCATCACCCGGTCACCAACAATCCGTTGAGTTGTCACACTGGTGATTTTGGCAACCAAGCACGGCTAGAGCATGCTTAGATAAGCTGAGTTTTAGCTCTCGCTGGTTTCCTTCCTCCAAGGACGCAGAGTCTTGTCATCGTGATGGGGTGCTGGAGGGCAGAGTTGTATTTTCTGAGCAGCTCTACCAAGCTCGTCTAAGTCTCGTTTGAGTGGGGCTTCACAGGTAAAGCACATGTGGCGGGTCACCTTGTGCCTCTGGAAAAACCCTGCTTTGGAGCGGCCAAAATCCCGATCTGAATGCCCAGCCCCGTGAAAGTCTCTTTGGCAGGCCTTGTCAACATTTCTCCAAAAGGCAGCAGGGAATGCTTGGAGGGTTTGGGGTCAACGGCTGAGCCTTGTGGGCTTCAAAGTGTCATGTCGACAAGGAGTAACTTGTAGCGCTGCGGCAATCCTCTGCTTCAAGTTTGCTTGGTTTGGCACAGCCTTCTGCGAATGTCGGCAGGGTGTCGGGTTTGCGTGCGTGCAGATCGGACATGCGACCTAGCGGAGCTCAAACTCCAAAAGCTACCTTTATCGCACTGCAGCCTGAGAACTTCAGCGACTCAAGCCTGAAGGATACACCGCAGGGACCTTTGCAGTCCTTTCGCCGACGCAGGTCGTGCCTCGGGCAGGAAGTGGGGCTGTAGCCGGCTTTTGTAGTAGCGAGGCAGACATGATTGAGTTCAATGGGCTCATGTGGCGTAGGCTCCAGGACTCCAGGGCTTTCCGTGGGGGCAGGGCATCTTTGTGTGATTTTTGATTAATTTCTGCTTTGAGCTCGATGGTTTCCAAGGCGTACCTTGACTTTACTGGCAGCGGATCTGAGACGATCGCCCACTCCTTGCAGAGTCGCGGCAGAGAAGTTTCACAAAACCACGGCATGAGTTCAAGGAGTCCGGGATAGAAAGAGAGATTCAGGTTTCGGGCTCTCAGTGTAGAGTTTACGATGGTAAGTGTTCACCATTGGCCTAGTGCGCGGATCTAGGACATGTTGCAAGACCTTTGGAGCTATTCCTTTTCACTTTTGGGCTTCAGTAGTTGGCGCTTTCGGGCCTGCCCAGTTAGCTGGTGGGTGTTGACGAAGCGCACTCAGAGGAGGGGGCTTGCTCTTATTGTTGCCTGCGCTGAGAAGAGTTAGGTGAATCCAGACCAAATGAAGTTAGAGATTAGAGTTCTGCACTAAGATGACTGCGACGATGCCCAGGAACGACCGCATCACGGTGATGTTCGTTGCATTCGAGGGCGATCCCATTATCATGAGGCCTTTGCCACGCGAGATTCGGGTTTTCGAGGGTGCATTGGTTTCAGAGAACACGAGGGGGGGCTTGGCTCACGTGCCTCGCACAGGGCAGTTTAGTCCCAAGCCCAGGGCTTGGGGTCTTTCTTCATGGTAGGGCTGCGACGACAGCATGAGGCGCCTGGGGCCCGTTGAAGTCCATCCCAAGTCGCATGCACCTTTGTCAACAATGTTGATGCACTGATCTGTTTCTTCAGCTACATGCCCGGAGCGGGGATGGTAGATTCGGGTGCACGCTTCCGCTTCACGGTTTGCTAAATCCTTCGCGGAGCTCCCTGCCAGGCTCTACGGAAACATGCGCGCTACGCGGCAGACCATAGGACTGCAGCTTGAAGACTTTGAGTTCAGGACTCTTCCGGGGTTTGGCCTGGGTATCGCTGGTGGCCGGACTCAAGGCTGAAAGCAGTGCATTGGGGGATTGCTGAGCTACATGATTTTGTCCTGCAGTCTCAAAACTCTGCTCAGCCAGACTATGCAAGTCGGTCGTGTGGGAACCGCGTCTGCTGCCATGTTCAGTCTCCTGTCCCAGGCTATTCAGCGGGCTGCAGTGCCGCCTGAACTGCGCAGCAAATTCGGCGAAGAATTTATCAGCAGTCATGGTTTCCGTGCCGCGACCGAGCAGCACTTGGTTTCATGCCACAGAGCAGATATGTTCGACATATGCATGATGAAATGTGTGATGGCGTCGCAGGGAGGAAGGTGCTTTCCAGGTGAGGATTCAAGAACGCTGCAATGCTTTGCAGGATTTGTTTATGATAGCGTCGCATCCGTGAGCACGGTCCCGCTGTTGGATTCTTGAGCGCCTCTTTGCTGTGGACTCTGCATCCATAGGGTCTGAATATCTGATTTGATTCCCTTTTCAACGTTGCACATCACCCGAATCTTCCGGGGACGGGGAGGTGATCGTCATCGACGTCCATCGTGTTCAGTCCTCGTGCGGCTTCTCCATTCCCTTCTATGACTATGTCGGGGAGAGACCGGTCCTGCCGCCTGCCTCATGGTCTCAGATCCTGAAAGTCGGCCAAATCGGAGTTCGGTATTCCGATTTTCGTGTGGCTCCTAAAACTCTCACGGCTGAGGAAGGACCTCTGGGAGAAGAAGACATGGGAGGAGGCATCGGTGGCAAATCGTCGTCTGCGTGTTGTCAGACGTCAGAGTTCAGGGCTTTCAGAGCTTTCGAGGTCCTTACAATCGTCGGTGTCGCGGCTCTAGAGCCCAGCAGCCCCCAAGCCCGAAGCCCTTCTCCCAGCCCCGGCCATACTACCCCTGGAGGTTGAAGAATACCGTGTGCTGAAGAACAGCAGCTCGGCCTCTCTGCCTCTTTTTTTTCCTCTCCTGCCACGATAGCAAGAGCCATCAGAAGCTACTGGTATCAGCTCATCCTTGGCACCACGAGGCTTCTCCATCGACCTTCTTCCGTCCATCGGCCATCGCATCTGGAACCCAAAGGCCGGGCCGCGGCGCTGCTAGGGGCGCTGAGGTGTGAACTTCCGAGAACGTCCCACCTCATAGTGCTTGGCAGTCCGGCCTGTCTGTGTGTCTTTCGATTTTCGAGGGCTTTTTGCCTGGTACGGGTAAGTTCTTGTCGCCAAGCTGCTGCGCAGAGAGTTGGCTAATGGCTCGACCCTGCATTCTGCATTTTGTAAGACAGAAGGGCTCCTCGAGTCGCTGAAACTGAGGGTTCGGGCTTCTGTCGTGGAGGTGCTTTGAAGGGTTCAAGGCATTCTTAGGCTGCAGATTCGAGCACGTGCAGAGTTTCGGGGCTTAGGGATCGAATCCCCAATGTTGTCACTTTCGTGCAGTTTGTTCGACAGCTGAACCCTTGGAGACGCACAGTTTCTGGTGCCTGGTACATATTGTGAACCCTACATGAACCACGTATGCACCCTCTCCAGACCCGACATAACCATATAACCATATATAAACATGCTACCAACACTCCAACACATACTTCTTCTATTAACCTTATACAAACCCTATTTGCACAATCTATAAACCCTCTACACGCCCTACATTACCCACATAGAAACCCTGTATGGAATTTCATGGACATCAAGCTTTCAGGGTCTATATCCTAAACCCCGAACCCAACCGTTTGCACCCTAAACCCTAAACCCCACACCCCAAACTCTGAACCCTAAACCAAAAAACGCTGGTAGTGACTTTCTATGGTTCTGTCGTTGTTGTCCTTCCTGTCGAGCAAGCTTGCCCCAGTTATTTCTGCACAGAAGGGAGATCATGCAGGGTTGTCTTCAGGTATGGGTGATGTTTGAGTGAGGTGTTGTGTGTGGTCTCCCTCCGAAGTGCCTCAACCAGCATGGTATTCCGGACACCCCCATGGGCAGATGGAAAAGAGGCGATTAAAAAAAACAAAAAACAAAAAACGCCCTAAACCCTGAACCCTGAACCCTAGACCCCGAGCCCTGAACCCTAAACCCTACACCCTTTGGACGGGGAATGTTTCATCTCGAAGAAGCAGAGGCTCCTGAAGTGGCCCCGCGGTTCCGAGCCGGCTTCTGGTATGGCCCCTGGGCTCGTCTTGGGGTGGGTTGAGGGTTGGGGCTTTAGGGGTTTAGGGTATAGGGTTTAGGGTTGGGGCTTTAGGGGTTTAGGGTTGAGGGTTTGGGCTGTAGTTTCAGGAGTTGGCCTTAGGGGTTCTGGGGCGAGGCTTGGGGAGCTGCGGCGGTTGGGCGAACAAAATTGGGAGGAGGCTCGCCGCAGTCTGAGGTTCAGAGTTCGGGGCTTTTTCGACTTTCTGTTCCGGCTTTGGGCTGAAGGATTTGGGGATGAAGAGTTATGCTAGCCGCGCCGAAGGCCACGGAAGAGGGAGTACATTCCAGATTGCCCTCAACTCAACTGCAAAACATCAACAGCTCCCGAAATCCCCAAAATGTGAGAAGTACGACATGCATGGTATGCAGGCCCATCCATCAGGCCACTGGAAGCACCGAAAGCAAAGCCCGTAGTATCCTTGAAGCCTGAAAAGCTAAAGTCGGCGAAGGGTTCACCGGCTCTGCTTGGCAACATCTGAGGCTTCAAGGATGTCACCATGCAGGAGCCGTGCTTGAATTGGAACCCACCCATGGCCTGACAGAGACCGGGGGGGGATAGCTGCTGCATATTGACCCCTGAACCCAAAACCCAGATGATACTGCAAATAATGGTGTGGTTTAGAGTTTCTGGTTTGACAAGTTCTGCGGAGGGACCGGAGGCCACCTGCAGGGAAGGCTGGATAGTGCAGCCACAACCCATGAGCCCGAAGCCCTAAACCGCAAACCCTAAAAGCCCGAAAGCCGCCTCTTCCGTAAACCTTAAAGTCCCTAAAAGCCTAAACCCTTAAGTCCCTAAAGTCCCTAAAAGCCTAAACCCTAAAGTCCCTAAAGTCCCTAAAGTCCCCTAGAAGCCTAAGCCCCCTAAGATTCCAGGCCTCGGGTTTTTCACCCCACGGCGCCAAGGAACGGCTGAGCCTCTGGCTCCAGAGAGCTCTCGGGCCACTGCGGCTTCGACCGCAGGAGGTTCAAAGTCGTTTTTAGGGTTTTAGAGTTTAGGGTTAAAGGATTTAGGGTTTAGGGCTAAAGTTAAGGGATTTAGGGTTTAGGGTTTGGGGTTAAAGGAACACCAAAATAGTATTGGTAGTTATTGAAGGCCTAAGTAAATTACAAGCTACTATCTTGGGGTTCCTCATTATAATTAGAGTATATAATATAGACCACAAAACCGTGTATTACTCAAGTCACGCTTGAGAAAAGGAATTCTTTGTCACCGCTTGAGATAAGAGATGCCTTGCCCCCTAAGCCTGGACCCATCAAAAGGTTCAAAGCGGCCACAGAAGGCATCAGCAAATTCAAACATTCAAACACAAACCAGCTTCTTGAAAACGATTTCCGCACGAACACCTTCTTGAACCACTATGGGCCGCCACAGAGGCCTGTGTGTGCTGCAAAAAAAATACTCAGCTTGTCGACTGAGCCGCGGAATCTGACGCGTAGATGTCCGCATGCGTGTGATTTTCCTGCACAGTTGTTAGACGCTTGGTCGCTACGTTGTGATTCGATGTTGCATTGCATGGATGAAATTGTTGCAAAACTTACTTAGGAGGCGAGCGCTAGTTACTTACGAGATGCACAAGACATTAGCAGCTGTACTCGCATCAGACTTCTGTCCGCACGCACCCTAAAGCCCTATTCTAATTATAATTGCCCGTATGCTACTGTAGTCTATCCTTTTGTACTTTACTATCACCTGCCGGCGAGACAGTTTTTTGGTAGATTTGCAACTTTGTCGCAGGTTGCACTTGTTGTTCTCGGATCTGTAAGAAAGGGCGAGACATGTCATTTGCAGTGGTATGTGCAATATATGACTTGCTTTTCATGTCGGATGGATTCTTTCAACGCCACGAAAGTTTTTGTCCAATTGATGAGATTAGAGCCCACTTTCGCGCTGCCACGCCGATGCCTGAATTTAGGCTCCTTTATGCGTTTTGTGTCATTGCTGCAGGTTCTTATGTTAACATCCCTTCTCCATGGCTTTGTTTCGGGTTGGTGGTGTAGGCACGCTGCGACGCGCGGATTTCCTAGAGCCCCCGTTCACCTTGGCCTCCAAACCTGAACGTCAAAGAACAAGCCCGAACCAGACCAAAATCTTGTGCTGAGGAGCTTTCTTACGACCCGCGACGTCGGCATGCTTGGTGCCGGCGCACTTAGCGCATTGGCTGCGGCCAAGTACTGTGAAGCCTGTCGCAAGGTTTAGCCGTTGTCGGATTGGATGAGCCATCCAAGCAACGACCAATATCTTTTGATCTTTTGCAACATATTTCCTGTTCAACGGATTGCAGGACTCTGAAACGGCCAAAGGTCGACCTGTCGTGAAACTTATTGTTTACCGTCTTGTTTACTGTTTCTCGCTTATGATCCTGATAGCCTGCACTGCCAACATCCAAGTCCCACAGTCTGGGGCCTAAACCCCAAACCCTAAACCCTAAACCCTCTCTGTTGATGGGCTCACGGGACTGGCAGATGGAGCAAGGCTCTCGGAACGACAGTTTCCAGGCAGTGCTCCTGAATCCAGCTTGCAGCGCCCCATTAAGAGCCAGCTGTACAGTGTCCTGGCTTTGGGCGTTTTGGCTTGTTGACTTGGAAAACAAGCCCGCTTCTGGGTCTTTCTGTATCGTGACATGCCTGAACTTCTCTTCACGGAAATGTTCGTTTCTCCATACAAGAGCGCTTCCTCCAGCACCTTGAAGGCCTTGGGCACGTTCTTCCTACTACCCGTTTGTCTGCAAGACGCCAGCAACATCCTGACTAGAACTAACGCACCCCGGACTAGAACTAACGCACCCCGGAATCACTGTCGCCAATCTGAATTGGGTCTTGCAAACGCGCTAGCCCTTAGCCTTGAAGCTTCAAGAAGACTTTCTGCAGCGAGACAGGACACCTTTATGCTCAACTTCATTGGCACCTCAGTGCGGAGCCAGCTGGCCGCGAAAGCCGGCAGCGCCTGGTGTTGAGCAGCTTGAAAAAGTGAGCTTCGCCGCAAGTCCCGGTGTTGCACAAGACGAGAAGCTTCTGTAAGCCAGCTCCATCACAGGCAAAGTCTTGAAAGACTTGCATTTAGGCAGCTTTGACAGACTGAGCTGGTGGTCTGAGGTTGCGCGGATACTCGTCCAAGTATCAACAGGTAATCGCGTTCACACTCTATTAAGAATAGTGCACTTTCTACTCGGAATCAAAGGCAGTAGTGAAGAGCCGGATCACACTTAGAATTGAGTATAATGATTGTCTATGTATATATATATGTGTACATACAATATGTGTGTGTGTGTGTGCGTGCGTGCTGATGCCCGGATGCAAAAGCTGGTGCATTGGTCTGCCTGTCTGTCTGTTGGTCCTTCTGTGGGGCAGGTAGGTAGGTCAGGTAAGTAGATAGGTAGGTAGGAACGTGTCTTGTTTTTGCATGCATGAATGCATGTCTGTAAATTCAAGCATCTGTATCTATACCTACATCGTGTCTATATCTGATATATCTGTATCGTTCTCTGCATCTGAATCTATATCTGTACCTAAGTCTATATCTGTATCTGTATCTAAATCCATATCTATACCTATATCCATATCTACATCTTTACCTGCCTGCATTCATGTATGTATCTATATATATATACACTTAAAATATGCAACCATACAAATAGATGTATATGTACATATAGATATGCATGCATGTATGTATGTATGTATGTATGTATGTATGTATGAATGTCAGTATGTTTGTGTGTTTGTACATACCTACATATATTTCTGGGTATACAAATGTCGAGACAATGATTGAAAAGGTGTCAAACTATATACACATGAACATAGAGTCACATAGAAGAAAGTACCAACAAGACATCTACAAACAAAGAAATAAGAAGGAGTGCATGTTAAAAAGAACAAAAATAGAAAAGCACCAAACACATAAAATATAGATACGAGCATGTTTTAGCACGTTACAAATATATGCATATACATGCGAACAGTTCAGGACGGATAGGGAAACTAACAAGACAGATAGATAGATGGATAGATAGATAGGTAGATAGAGCAGGGGAGGTCCTTGGTTGCTCAGGCTGCACTGTGGCAGCCGCGGCCCTTTCTGGTGAAGCCCCCTGCCCGTGCAGCGCCAAGAATCCAAACAAGCCAGGTTAAACATTTTTACACGTACTTATGCATATGTGTCTATGTTCCACTCGACCATATTAGGCTATCTTTCACTATGCTGTACTATTCTTTAGGGCTGCTACGTAACAGACAGCTGTGGATATAGTTGTTCATGATCTTTCTGGGACTCGCGCCAGTTCGTTGGCTGTCGGGTCGTTGTGGGATTCAAGGCTTGAAGCTTGATTTTCGTGCACGTTTGCAGAAAGATTTTCAGAATCCCAGCAAGCCGTGTTCTTTGTGCTCCTCGATTTGCAGCTACGGACCATTATGTTTCATCACATCGCCGGTGCTCAGATGCAGGTAAGAGCAGGGCATGCTTTCGAGTTGGTTCCTTGGGCATGGGGGTTGCTTCGAGAAAGTCGGCAGCTGTCGGCAGCAAGCACGTGCAGGTGTTAGTCTTACACGGTTCCAAGATTCGTGCTGCTACTATTCTCAGTCGTGTTCGTCCTGCTTCGTGTTCATGCAGCTGCTGCTGCTGCTCCT